CAAGAGGGTCTTATAGATGGAGTGTCTTATAGATGAAGGAAATTGACCTCTTACAATGAATATTAGACAAGGACAACCATCGATTTTTGAAATTTTGTACTTCAACACCTCATGTAAGGATGTTCGGCATTACATTTGCTACTTTCAACTTTGCTGAGGATGGAGAGAGAACCATCTGAAAAAGAAATAAGATTTGGAAGCTCTGCCATTGATAGCTCCTTAAAGGAGGACAAGCTATGGAAATCCTGATGTGGCCTCATAAGGCAATTCTGTAAGAGAAGAAGAGCAACAATCCACCGAACACAACCGACCGGATTATAAGAATACTTTGATAGCAAATCTTAACCTTTGAAATGCTTCAACAGAATTTTACAACATTCCCATAACTCTGCAGCAGCCAAAATGTCGACATTTGAAATTTTCGATAACCACTCATAAAGTTTCCGAAAGCAATAGTAGAAACCTTCAATATATTGCAACTGTAGGAGGCCAACAATAAATCACAACAACATTTGGTGAGATAAACCCAACAAATCTTCAATAACAACACAACAATTATATATTCTGATTACTCTTACCAAAAATAACTTCTAAAGTCCAACTCTGCAAAATAACTCCAGGAATTCATCATTCAAATCGTGATCTATTTCAGATTAGAAGAACAGCTACCTGTCCAACAAACACAAAAAACCAACGTAAATATTTAATAAAAAGGAGTGCTAAAATAACATGATAAATTAGCACTGAGAAAATTGCAATATTGGTGGAGTTTGAAGAAATACTACAGTAAAACTAACAGAGGCAATTGATTCTACAGTTGAGATTCACTACTACAAACAACTCTTCATTACTGATTTTTTGGCCTCTAGATGATAGACTATCAGCTTTATCCTCTAGAGTCTAGATGATAGACTATCAGCTTTATCTTTCATCTTAAACATGTAACCACTCATACTCAATGAATCATGCCTAGTTGTTTTCGATTTAGAAACAAAAATTCTCTCTAAATTTGTGTAGATTTCAAATGAGAACCGACATTAATATACATGATTGAACATAGATTCTGAGACCAAAGCAAGCAACCAACTTACAAGTAGACCTAGCAAACGGGCGGGTTGGGCGGGTATGGTTCGGGTGGCAACGGGTCGCGGGTGGAATGGGTCGCAGGTAAAAAGTTCTGACAGGTCGACATATACATGATCCGTACCTGCCCTTGCAGGTATGGGTCACCCGCGAGTCACCCATGAACAATGCACCAACCTTTTATATATTTCACTGTTTTTCCATATTTTTGTTATTTTTTACTATTTTTTATTCAAAATTTCAAATTGCATACTAAATTATATTGATTTAAAAACTTGATATAAAATTCATTTATTAAACTTATTAGTTATTAACTTATTATATTAAATAAATGGATGATTAAATTAAATTTGATTAGATTTCACCAAACATTATTAATTCAATATTAATATTTTTCATATTTATATCAAACTCCACCATATAGATAATAGAATTAATAAACACTAAACATACATAGTAATTACTAATTAGTAAACACTAAACATATAAAATTGTTTAACATTCAACATACATAACATAGTAAACACTAAACAATTAAACATATATAATTGTTTAACCAAACACACTAAACAAACAAAGCCGCCCTTGATTATGCAATCTCCTTCCCCGGCACTTGACTTAATGGCACAAGCAGCTGAACATCATCAATTTCATCTTCTACAATTAACAAAATATAAGTTAACTATCGTAATATATTAACAAACAAAAATATTAAAACATGTGAAATATAAGTTAAAATGTTACCTTTAACTTCATATCCAGAAATCCATGTCCTGGTGCATATCAAAGACTCTGCATTCTCCAGTAAAAGTGAACTTCGATATTTATTGAGCACTTTGCTACCAACACTGAAACTGGATTCCGAAGCAACAGTCGTTATTGGTATACTCATCACATCACGGGCCATCATCGAAAGTATCGGGTATCGATCACTATTTTTCTTCCAATGGTCCAGGATATCTAAATTGCAAAATTTGATGCGATCAAACCTTGCCTCTTCCAAATAAGTATCCAATTCGGACTTCTTAGTAGCACTAAAGTCACTCTTGTAGTAGTCAAATTCCTGCATCATTTAAATGTTTAAATTTAATAAAGCAAAATTACAAAATAAAGAAAATCTTATTAATCACAAGAATATAAAAATATTTAGGGAGTATTGACTTACACAAATATGATCTCCAATGATATTAGGATTATTAGCCTGTAGGTAAGGATCGTTGGGAACCTCATTGCCACTTAGACCCTCAAAGCAGCAAAAAGCCTATACAACTCCTGCTTGACCAACTCCAACTTTCTTGTTGCAACTACTGGGCCATCAACTTTTTTGTAACAAAACTCAACAAACTCAAACTTGAAACGTGGGTTCAGAATTGCTGTAATTGCTAACACAACAGTATAAGAATCCCAATATTTGTCAAATTTGCCTTTCATTTGACTTGCCATGGTACTAAGAACTTCATCCTCATTTTCCATTTCTTCGTATAAATGCACTTGAACTTTCCACACATTTCTGAGATACAAGTTTGTTGTGGGGTATTGGGAACCCAAAAAAAGAGTAGTGATCTCATAAAATGGTTGCAAGAACTTGCAAATCCTCACCCCCCTTATCCCATTCTTCATCTGAAGGACAACTTTTATAATTGGGATCTATCAGTGCCAAATGAACAAATACACGACGGTATATTAACGCACTTTCAAGCATTAAATAAGTGGAATTCCATCTCGTGGGAACATCCATTCGCAATCCTTTTGAGCTTATCACACCAATTTTTTTAACAAGTTCTCCAAACTTGATTCTTTTAACCTCACTTCCTTTAATATATTTCACACTTTCACAAATTTTATGCAAAGCCACGCTACTCACCTTTAACCCTTCTTGGACTATGAGATTCAAGATATGTGCACAACATCGCACATGAAAAAAAGAATTATCACATAATAAAACATTTTGTACACAAAGTTGACTCCTTAAAATATCTTCCATTTTATCATTGTTACTTGCATTGTCTAATCTAAGAGAGAAGACTTTCTTTTCAATCCCCCAATCTTTTAAGAAATCATACACTATGTCTGACAAAAGAGCCCCCGGGTGTAAAGGAGGAATATGACAAAAATTCAGAATTCTACTTTGTAACTCCCAGTTCTCATCAACATAGTGAGCCGTTAAAGAAATATACCCATCAGTAGTACATGAACTCCAAATATCAGAAGTCAAGCATATTCTACCCGAAACCCTCTCTAAAGCAAGCTTAATCTTTTCCTTCTCTATGTAATATATCTTTAAGCAATCCGCCTTAGCGGTGTTCCTAGTTTAATGCTTAACTTCATGATTCAGATACATGTGTACATCCCTAATTCCTTCATGCTCTACTATTGAATATGAGTAATTATGTTTTATGATTCCTATTGCCATCTTTTCACGATAAATTTCTTTAGAAATCTTCAAACGTCTCAATTTAGTATCACAATCCATCATCGTTTGATCTACACTACTAGTAATGGTATGTTTAGGTCAACCTTCCATATGGCGCCTCAAATTCTTAGTCTCATGACTGGAAGTACCATGTGCATAAGACTTACCACAAATCATACACTTTGCCCTCACCTCCCCATTATCTTCTATATATGTTGTAAATTGACCCCAAACATTTGAAACTTTACGTCTTTTTGGACAAACCGTACTACCAGTAGAAGGAAGTTGACCTACGGCTACATTACGACCCATTCCTAAATCTGTAGACTCCTCCATACCAAGCCAATCTAAAGGACACAACAAAGTATTTACATTTAAATTAATTAACTAATCATAATTCATAACAATCTTCCAAAAAAAAAATAAAAACACTCCCATATACTTTACAAGCAAACCAGCCCTACTAAATGATTGGATTTTTCCAACTCAACAATCAACACCCCTCAACTTCAATAACCAATCATAATTCATAACAACTTATCCAAAAAAAAATTATAATGTGCTATATGCTGTGAATCATCAATTCATCATTATTTGAGTCAAAAGAAAATAAACACACCTCCAATAACACTATCACTAGCAATTCTTACCTTGGTTAATTTAAGCATGGTTCACTGGTTTAACTAACATGCAATCAATATTTGAGCAAGGGTCAATATTTGAGCAGGGGCCAAAAAGTGTCTTATTTCTTTAAATTATAAAAGAAGAATAAAGGGAATTATCTTATTGCTATTTTAAAATATGTAAATATAAAAAATTTATTTTCAAAACTTTTTAAGCCTCCCTCAACGTCACGTACAAGTTACAAGCAATTTTTAAATCTTCACGAGCAACCATACTCAGGATTTGGCTTCTTCTTGAATTCAGCAGATTCATCTTTCTTGATAGAAATAAAAGTGTGAAAGTCAACAAAATAAAGCTGGGAGATCAGAAAGATGAAGCAGAAAGATTAGTTAACTTCAAAGCTCTGATACCATGAGAAAAATAGAGAAACTGAAAAATATATTGAAGAAACAGTTCTGAAAAGTGTGACTGAGTTTGTTATTACCGAAGCTCAGTTCTTATAATAACAACTTCAAGAGATTTTAGTGTTATTGTACTTCGAAGCAACTATCACAAGCAAAAATGGACATTTGATCAGTGAAAGTCTAAGCTCATTGAGAGTTTTCAAGATATAAGATTCGTCTAGCCACACACAGATTACATACAACGTAAACCTCATATGCAAAAATACCGACGCCATAGTACAAAGGTACACTACACTTTCTCATCTACCATTGCCCTTTCAAACGATCCACGGATTTATAAAAGAGAAATGATTGATCGCGGTGCTCGTTGGACGTTTAAGGCTCTAATCATAAAATATATAATTTGAGATGAATTTGATTGATTATTTATAAGAATGTTATGACTTTACATTTGCTAATTTCAACTTTGCTCAGGATGGAAAGAAAACCATCTGGAAAACACACAATATATATATCCTGTTGTGGCTTCTCAAGACAATTCAATCTTTAAGGGAGTGTATCATTGCCTTTGGAATCAAAATGGAGCTCCATGGATAATGAATTTATGCCATTGTTAGAAGAGCACCTGTCCACCAAACACAACCGACTGGACTTTTAGAAAACATTGATAACTGCTCAATGGATAATGAATTTATGCCATTGCTAGAAGTGAAAGCAGTTAAATTTTAACAGAGAAAGTGAAAATTAGCTGCAGAAACAAGACTTTCAAAGAATAAAATATATCGAAACTTCCTTCTAGCCTCAACATCAGTAACATGAAATATTAGCAAAAAACTACAAACAATTCCTGCAGGCTTGCAAATCATAGGCTTTGAAAAAGGCTTCAGCACCAACACCACTTGAAAATTTTCATGAAGCTGTGCAGAAACCTTTTGCAACTGTAGGAGTCCAGCTAAAATCTTCAACCACACATAACTTTTGAAATCCAATTCTGACACGTAACTCCAGAATTTCATCATTCCAGATCCAAGCATAGTCTTTGTGGCATTTACCAGCGTTGGTCTAAATCTTCTAATTAACGCTTCCCCAGGCAGAAAGTATCATTCCCTTCCACATCCAAATCTTGCTCCATTGCTGATTAGAAGAGAAGCTAACCATCCGGCAAACACATAACACCAACTGGAATTTTTTAACAAAAAGCAGATATCTGCTCAGTGTCCAAAGAATTTAACTTAATAAAATGGAAATACATTTTTCTACAGTATGGCAAGCTTTATTATGATAATAGAGGCAATAACAAAGTAACTTTAAAACTGCAATATGCAAAATCCATAAGATATTATAATAGCTAATATACAAAATAAATGTTTAGTACAAGGAGTGTTTAACAACATTTTGATATATCAAAACTGACAATTCAAATTGCATACATAGTTTAGATTGTTGAGTTGGCTCAGCCCAAGTTATTAACAATTTAAAACTTAATTTATTTTGTAAATATCTGAACAGCCCATTAGAATGAAGTGAGGTACTAGACTAATTCAACCTCTATATTCATTTCTAAGATCTAATAGAATTCATTCTTCCTCCTCTATATTCTTCATAATAGACTATTATCTTTCATCCTAAACATATAATCAATAATACTCAAGGAACTTACATTTATAGTTTGCTAAAATATATATTACACTATGATCTTAATAGATGATATCACAAAATAAAAATATTTTTGCCAAAAGTGAAACACAACAACATGCTCTTGCCAAAAAACAAGAAAAAAAATAAAAAAATTGTCAACTCCTCATAAGCATTAGAAGGAAAACTCAAGAGCAGAATACTCTTGCGAACCCCATAATCTCCAATCAGTAAAATTAACCATCATTTCTGACCGCCTTGTGATTTTATAGGTGATAGGGTAAAATTAACCATTCATTGCTCTTTTTATTATTATTATTATTATCCTCATTAGATTAATGACCATTAAAATAACATGTACATAACTGATGATCATATATGTTAAGACTTTGAATCTCTTTAGGAAGCAACACGACACTAATGGATACTTCAATATCAACTAAAGGGTAAGTCATCCCGAACTTAGATTATAGCCTGCTAATGCAAATATACCTAGGGGCTCAGTTCTGCTTAAGTAACATTAACGTGTCCCTTGTGTTGGACCACTGCTCCAGATGTATCCTCTGCTGCTTAAACAAATACAACACAGTGATAGAAGATTAATTATAAAGCAAGTAATAATGCCTCTAATTTAGATAGTAAGAACTTATAAAACAAATAAATTACAACAGAAATACCTGAAAATGATTTGCCTCTCTCCTTTGGCAATACAACAATGGGCCACTGTAGTTCCACTTGGATTATTTTTTTGGCTGTAGAGAATCCCTTCAATATAATTTCAAGAGACCAAACTTATTTAGTGTACATAATTAAAGCTTTTCACTAAAGCGCATGGAAAGGAGGAAAAAAAAGAAACACACACACACGCACACACACACACACACACACACACATATATATAGCATTGTACAAAGGGCCGGCTTTTGATACAAAGAAAACATTTTGATATGGTGTATCATGTGTCACCACCAAAAACCAAATCTTATTCTGATGTCAATATTTGTGTCCTAGAATTTTAAGCTGGCATTTCGTGCAACATAGGTTCAAAGCAACCGAATAATAATTCTGTCCCAAGTTTACATGATGCTTTCCATACGATCAAAAATTGAAGGCGGCATATAGGTCAAAAAGTTTAATGTGTGTCCATACAACTATATATGCATCTACATGAGCAAATTTACAGAGCCCATTCACAATAAAGATGAGCAAACAGACTAATTCCTTTTGAATAATAATCTAAAGATTGCATTATTTGAACAAGTAGCATGTGAGAATTTTTAGGTGGTTTTACTCAATATTTCCAGAATAATTATAAGCTAAACAATATATCTAAGAATTTAGATCAACTTTGGAAAAAGCAAGCAGAAATAAATATGTCAAAATTTAATTTTCAGGTAACTTGAGAAAAAACTATATAGTATATATTGAACAGTATAATAGATAATTTTTTATAACTGAACAAAGAAGGAAAAAATAACTAAATCATAAATTCATATATACAACCTATTGGTATAAAAGAAAGAGAAGAAAATATAACTACAGTTACAATCAAGATTACCTGTCCCCTTCACATGTAACTTTCTTAAGAGAAAAAGCATTAATTAGTAAACCACTCAAAAATTTTGTACCTCAGAAATGGCATGACGTGGTCAAGAGATAGTTTTCCCCAAATTCTCACTGTCACTCCTTCCAGTTTCTTGGTCCAAGGCCCCTGGTAAGTCTTTGTAAGAAACTGTTGCTCAATATCTAATTGACCAGTAACCTTCCAACTAGGACTAGTTGTACCCTCATCATCCTTAGCAATATCAAAACTACTCTGCATCATTAAAGGGAAAAGATAATTACAGGTTCTTCTCATTTGCAAATTTATTTCACAAATGCATAACAATAGTAATGATTAGAAAATAACAAAAATGAAAAGGGGAATAAAAGTTTCTTGATTCAGCATTTGTTTTTCCATTCCAGTCAATTCACAAACAATTTCAAACTGAAAACTTCTGGAAAATACATTCCACTACCCTGGAAGACAGTTAATGATATTGATGAAGTCATTAGCAACTGAAGATGAGAGGAAAATAATTAATCATTACTTCAGTTCTTGCAATGGTTTGATAGGAATGAAGCAAGTGAACTCTCCAAACCATGAAGCTTGTTGAAGCCATCCTGAAATGAACAGAAGGAAAATGAGGAAATCTGAAGAAACTTAAGGCAAAAAAAGAAAAAAAAAAAAATACTTTAGCTCATATTTCCTGATTTGGAGCAGCACTAGAATGGTTAGGCAGCTAGCCCTCTCTGGAATTGAAAAATAAAGTAAAAGTAGGCGCTCATGTCTTACACTATAATTGAAAAATAAGATAAAAGCCGTATTCCTCACCTGTGATAGCTGCTATTACACAACCAAAACCATGGCCAAACTTTTAATTAATATTTACGGGTAAACATTAACCAAACAATTGAATTGATTTAATACGAAATAGATTAGAAATTTTTTTAAATTCAATTTACATGTAGATAGAAATAGAATGCTGTCATTGATTGTATGGGTTAAAAATTGTGGGAATGTTACAGAGTGTATGGGTGTGCTTCTCACTGGGGAATTTTGTCAAACATATGATAGCCATTCACAAGCAAATTAACAGACCCAAGAAATCTTGAACCTAAGCATTAAACAACAACAAATGAAAGCAATACATGTGATATTGAAGTTGATAGAAGTAAATTGAGATGATTAAAACACACCTTCGGTGAAGATGAAATCGTCAGCTTGCTCGGAGCTGGAAGTGGAGAATGGCTCATTTCAGAGGGGAAACTGAAAGAGGGTTATTGAATTGAGGTTTATAAGGAAATTATGTATATAAATTACTACTTCATACATTATGTTAATAGCAGAATGAATGAAAAGTTACATTTTTTATGTGCATGTGGTGAGTTCTGTCATTCATCAGCCTCTGTTTTGATTGAAATAAAATACAGTGCATTGGTGAACTCAGTATGTTTTTAGTCCTATAGCTTTACAGGCTGTGTGGCTTGTCTAAATGCAACAACCCATCCTGCAAGCCCACCTAAGACGAACCCACTAACACCCCATCAAGCCAGGCCACTGATGACCCACCAAGCCCACATAATTTTGGAGAAGAAGGAAATTGGCCTCTTACAATGATTACTTGAGAAGGAAACAACCATCGAATTTTAAGAGCTGAATGCGTGCATTGTTGTGCTTCAACTCCTCATCTCATATTAGGATGTTATGGCTTTACGTTAGGATCTGGAAGCTCTGTCATATATAGCTCTTTAAGGAGGTGAAGCAATGGATCCTTCTTGTGGCTTCATAAGACAGTTCTTTAATAAGGGAGTGTATCTATCATTGGCTTCCAAATCAAAATGGAGCTCCATGTCTAGTTCAACGGATGAAGAATTTATGCCAGTGTTAGAAATGAAAACAGTTACAAATTTTAACATAGAAAATGAAAATTTGTTGCAGAAACAAGACCTTCAAAGAAAAAAATATACCTCTGAAATCACAGCTTCCTTCTAGTCTCCACAAACCATGCCTACAGGCAATAGGCTTGAAAATCTTAAGTTTTGTAAAGCTTTCAACAGAACCCTAACATAACTCTCCAGCTGCCAAAATTTCAACAATTGGTCACAAACACCTCTCAACAAATTTCACAAAAGCAGTAGCAGAAACCTTCACTAAAATGCAAATGTGGGGATCTTCAACTACAATGCAACCATTATGCTCACTTGTCTTACCATAAATAACTTTTGAAGCCAAACTCTGCAAAATAACCCAAGAAATTTATTGTTCAAGATTAAGCATAGTGTTTGTGGCATTTACCAGTTTTGATCTAAATCTTTTAATTAAGGACCCCAGGCAGAGTGTATCATTGCCTTGCACGTCCATATCAGGCCCTATTTCTAATTAGAAGAAGAGCTATCTGTAAAATAACCACGAAAAACATACTGGAAGTTTTAATAAGTAGATATCTGCACAGTCTCCAAAGAGTTTAACTTATTAAAAAGCTATAATAAATGTTATAGTCCTCACTATTCTTTTTAAACATGTCAAAAGTGATGAAAAGAAAGGATCTCTTTTTATGTATCCAGGAAATTTGTCAACTTGTTCGGAAATGGTACAAAAAAGGATGTCCTTTTTTACAATGGAAAAACGCTCCTCTGATGACTTCTTTAAGCATTGGAGTTACACCAGTGAACAAAAAAGAACAACTTCAAAAAGAACAAGTTTGATAGATACATGACTAAACATAAATTTTGAGATCAAAGCAAGCAACCAACTTACAAGCAATTTAAAATTCTTTACCAGCAAACATACTCAGGATTTAAATTCTTCTTGCATTCGGCAGAATCATCTTTCTTAATAGAAATGAAAGGTAAAGGATAAGAAAAATAAACCTGTCAGATCTTCAAGTTCATGAGTACCTACAGCGAACGACACTTGTGATTTCCAGTGGTGAGTTGCAGAATTTGAGCTCAATTTTTTCAGTTTAAGGTTTTGGAAGATCAGAAAATGATGAAGCAGAAAAGTTTTCTATTTGACATTAGTCAATTTAAAAGAAACAGAGAAAATATAGTAATTTATCACAAAATCATGGAAATAGACCAGAAACTCAATGTTGATAGAGCCAATAATGCATTAAAACAGAAATTCACAAACAGCGTATTGAAAAATTGTTGGACAACTGCAGAATTCCGAATGAATAAAACAAATCCAAGCAGTAAAGCAACAGGATGAATGTGCTAAGAGAGCACTACTCTATTCAACCAAATTTCAAGACAACATCAATGAGGATAGCAGAATGAAAAAACATCTTCCTCTTCAGGAAAATGGAGCTATAGTCTATCTGAAGCAATATAAACAAATTCCAGCTTCCACATGAAGAATGGCCTTAATCTTCCTTAGAACTCTGCACATTCTGTAATCATAAACAAAGCATATTGAATTTCACAAAATAAAAGAAAGAGGTTAAAGCAATTGATTAATACATCAATCGCAATAATATACCAAAGAAGATAAAATTTTCAGTTTATAACAATATCTTTAATTCATCTAGTTAATGAGTAAATATATTAGTACATGACGATCAGCAAATTAGAAAGTGCAGAGGAAATGGATATGATATTTTTGTCAATAAATGCATACCCTTTTATTGAACAGTTGCTGTATGGCAGAATTAAGTTCAGGGTTGCCTTCCCCACATTCTTCAACTTCATCCTCTCCTTCTATCAATTGTAACGCTTGTAGCATTGGCGTGCTTAAAACTCCAAGAGAAAAAGTCTCCATCTTCAAGCATTGTTTGACAATTACTTTTCTCAATGATGGAAAATCAAGACTAATATCTCCACCACAAAAGCTTGTAAGGCTTGGTAAACAATGAATTTCCAAATTATTCAAATAGTTGAAAGCAATTGAATCCTCCACCATTTCACCTTCCAAACTGGATATAATTTGATCCATCATTTTGCATTCAGATATATTCATATTTGTAAGCCACTTCAGAGTTTTAGCTTTTGAAAGGCTTAGCAAATATCTCAATCCATCACACTTTGATACTTGCAAACTCAACAAATTTTGGAAAGACACTGAAGATGACCATGAATTATCTAAACTGCCACATTCTGATAGTTTTAGAGTCTTCAGATTTTGAAAAGCGTTGTTAGGTTGAGGATTTCCTCCCCATAGATGCAACAATCTGGGCATTTCACATAACTCAAGCTCTTCCAATCTAGGGAATGCATCCTACAAAATCACAAGAAAGTAGTGTGAAACAAAAAAGAAGAGATGATTAGTATAGGTGGGCAGCACTAAATAGTGTCATTAGAAATACTTGGGGACTTATTTTTATCCGATAAAAAAAAAATCCTTTTAAAGGCGAATAATACTATATATTTATTAGATACTTGGGGATTTTTTTCATTTTTCATTTCTTATTTGTTTTATAGAAAAATGTAAAATAGAAAAACGAATCCTTTTTCTATATCAATTTGGAGTAAATTGATTATACGAAGGTGTTGTGCAACCAAAAATCCACTAAATGATTTGATCTACTAGGATAAACTCAAGTCACTTTAATTTGATGCACTTATTCTAGTTCATAGATAAGCATCCTTTTCTAAATCAATTTGGAGTTAAAAAAAAAAAAAAAAAAAAGGACTAAAATTTTTATACGGTAAAAACCACAGGTTGCTATATTATATAAGTAGGATGGAAAATCAAAATTCTTAGTTGCATATACCTGAGTGGACGTTTGAGCTGAATTATTTTGTTTTTTAATGAATACTTAGTTACAATGCCTTCTACATACCTTGTAAACCAAGAACAGTGGTCTTTGATTTGGGGTCTCATTTTGACTCTGTCCATGAGTCCCTTTGATGCTCAGAAATTCTGAAGCTAAAGTCTCCACATTGTTACATCCACATACCTTCAACTCGTCTAAAACCGGCCATTCTGAAATATGTTTTTTTGGGTAAAGACTTTTGAGACTTGGAAGCATCTGTAGATACAAGCTTGTTAATTTGGAGAACACAAATCTATGACCTGCTTCTTCATTAGCAACAATTTCCTCCATTATGCCAGATCTTTTCTCTAGCACTTCAAATATCTCTTCAACTGAATCACAATTTTGTACTTCCAGCCACTCTAGTTCTTGGTGTCTCCCAAGCATGTTAGGTGGAAAAACATTTACAAGTTTTTTACAAAACCGTACAAACACACGATTTAAACTGCAGAAGGAATCCAAAGAGACCTGATCGTCCCATATTTTTACCAACTCATCAGCAGAACGGATTTTCAATCTCTCCAAACAAGGGAGTCTTACCTGAAGAATTCAATTACAATTACAATTACGAGATACCGATTATTAATTACTTATAAACATAGACTTGAGATGTGATGAACAAAAATGAGAAAATAGGTTAAGTTGAATCTCCAGACAGTGTGAACAAAGAAGAGAATAAATGTGAAAGAAAAAAGAGAAAAATCACCTTTTTATCAAAAAGAGATTGCATGTGAGCGTGGAGGTTCTCATTTGAGTTCCTTTCTTCAAGTTTTCTGGTTGATGTCATGTCACTCCATATAGAATTGGAGACAAATGATTTCATACCAGGACAATTTTCAATCCACAATCTGAATAAGGAGGACAATTCAACAAAATTTCCCGTGGAGTGGCAGAACGTTGTGAGTTTTTGAAGATCTCTAAGCTTCAGCTGGTATAATTTAGGAAACAGAACTGTATTCGTCCTCTCCTCATCTTCAACTATAATTCCTTCTATCAACTTACAATTGGATATCTCAAGCTCCTTCAATTCGAAAAGGCTTTTGACCATTGAAGAAGAGAAAAAATATTTTAAATGATCAAAGCCATCGATGACCAAGATTGTTAACTTCTCAAAGCAAGAAGATGTTGCTGGCAGTTGGCTCTGCCATATCGACTCAGTGATGGTTGAGGATAAAGTTAAGTCGTCCATGGTAGGAAACACAACCTGCAGATATTATGATTGCTTTGTGAATAACATTATCTATGATAATTCAATTGTTTTACACTATGTAAATTTCTTTATTAAACCTAATCTTGGAGATAAAACTCAAACAAACTTACATTTTCACTGAAAAGGGATGGAAAGTGGAGGCTGAAGTCCTTCAAATGTATATTCTGACAGTCTTTTATGATGATAGTTTCCAAGGGAGGACATTCCAAAATACTACTTCCTGAATAGAAGCTTGTCAAGCTTGGTAAAGACTCAAGATTAATGGACTTCAACAGAGGGATTTCAATTTTATCAATGACCGCATTCTTTTCCCCTCTTTTTGTAATGATTTCTTCAACCAAAGCACAACTTTTTATTTCTATCTGTTCGAGTTGCACAAGGCTCGAGACAAAAGATGCAGTAAATATGTATCTCAAGTTGTTGCAGTGATCAACTTTCAATGATTTCAGATTTTTGAAGCCCAAAATTTCATGATGACTTCTCTTCGTTGCATGTCCATCAACATAATCAAGTTGCTCTTCCATATCAAACACCTTTTTCAGGGAATCACAGCCTTTTACCTCTATTGTTTCCACATTTTTGAAGTAGCTTAACACATTGGATGGAATTATAGTTGCAACACCAGAAAGCCCATCTAGCACTAGCGACTTCAAATCGTAGAATAAATCAATTGGAACTTTGCCATTCCATATATTTTCTTTTAAAGTGGGAAATTCACCAAGCTTCAAATGTCCGAATTCACGAAAACCAACCTGCAAAATCCAAAATATTTGAGTTATTTAAAACATTGCACAATGAGGATTTTGATTTTTAAGGGGGCAAATCATTGAAAAAATAATAATAAAAGAAACTATTTTATGCTTAAGCATGAGAATTTATATTATCATAAACGAAATTTAACATCAAAGGTTGACAAGGATGTAATAACTCCTAATTAAAAAGTTTTAAATTCCCATAACAAAATTATCTTCCGCAAACTATTCATATAAAACCTTTAATGTGAGTGGTTTTATATGTATTTTAAGACACATTTTAAGGTCACAAAAAGAAAAAAATATACACGTAGACATGAAATACCATGGAACGATTTGAAAATCATGTACTAGTACTTACAAGACAAAGAAGACATGAAAATAGCCAATAGTTTTATATGTGATAACAATGAAATACCAAAAGAAGAAGAAGTAGAAAATGATAAATCAAAATTATTTTGTAATATTGCAAAACCTGAAAGATGCATGATTTTGGTCTTAAATTTATTTTTCTGATTTGGTTTGTTCTATATATAGTCTACATCAAAATTGAGAAACTTAATTACATTGTTTACTTATGAGAAGTTTAAATGAACTTTTAACCAAGGTAAACAACCCTTGGACCGCATTAAATAACACTAGATCTCAACCTAGGCAAAAAACAGAAGGTAAAACAGAAAAAAAAAACAGAAGGTAAAACAGAAAAAAAAAAAAAAAAATTATTCTCAAGAGATTGCTTTGATTAACAAAACAAAAAATCATTCAATTCTGTTTCCCAAAATAGTTTCTAAAACCAACGTAGTGAAAAACATAGCACAACTATGTTGCTTTCAAAATTTGCTTAGCAAATGGTTTGCTTATGTCATGTGTAGATTGATGAGGCATGTTTCATAAACAATTAAGATATGTGGAATCCTGGAACTAAACGTTTTTTAATTGAAATAGTTGTGGAAGGATACTGGATTCTTGCAAGAAGAGTAGTTTTGAGAATTTGTATCCTTATGTATGATTCTTGTGGTCACGCGTTTGGCATTACAACAATTTTCTCACAGATTCTTCAAATATATAAAGAATAGTAATAATATATTGTAATGTTGCAAAAGAAAATAAAAAGAATATGTGAATCAGTAAGTACCATATTCGTAAACATCTGATGGATAGTGGAATTAAGGTCATCTTTCCACAAATATTCTTCATCAATCATCTGTGTTAGTTGTACTCTCTTTAATTTTGGTGTGCTTAAGCCTTCTCGGGAAAAGATCTTCAAATTGGGGCATTGACTAACAATTACTTGTTCTAAGCATGGGAATTTGAAAGCACAATTGGCTGAGCTGAAGCTTGTGAGGCTTGTTAAACAATGAAGCTCCAGAATTTTCAATTGGCTGAAAACAATCTCTTCTTCCGTTGTCTCTACCTCAGTCACTATTACCTCTGTCACAAACTTGCATTCTGTTATTCTGATTGTTGTGAGACGGACAAGAGCTCTCGCTGCTGAGCATGCTAATATATTTGCCAATCCATTACAACAATGGACTTCCAAATTCTTAATGTTTTTGAAGAAAATCGTGGAGGACGACATTAAATATGTCAAACGATGACATCTCCATATTTCCAGAGTTTGAAGATTTTGAAGAAATGTGTCCACTTGGGAATCTTTTTTCCATAGACATCCTTCATATGGGAATAGTTCTTGGAAAGTACAATCATATAGATAGAGTGAATTCAGATGGTACAATTTTTTAAGAACACCAAACCAAAATGCCATTAATTCGTTGCCACACTTAACCAGTCCAAGAAATTTAAGGTTCCTAAAGCTCCTAGCCGGAATACGATCCAAGCATTTGGGTGTAATGTTATCGGCATTTAAACCCAAACATTCCAAATTGGGTATGACCTGAAAATCAATGAGCAAACAAGAATATCCATTCATCAACAAGTTTCTTGAGAGTCAAATTTAGTATATAGAGGGTGCCACTTTTTAACCATTTGACTTTTCCAATTAATTATACTATTTATATGTTCTAAATAAACATAATTCTGACAACCTGATTATAAACTACTTTAAAAATACAAGAATTATATTAATTAACAAAATTTATATCTTACTTTAAAACATGAACAGTACGTTCAATAAATCCACTCGATTGGTTTGAAGAGCAAAAGGAAGTGATAACAAAAAAAAAGAAACGTCACAAATAACCTTAATGATTATGTTGGTGGCAACAGGAGAAGTCATACCTTTTCAAAGGAAAACAGGGCAGGTTGACTCTCTCCATCTGAAGCACATACTTTTATCTTTCCACAATTATACACCAACAACTGTTTTAGCATTGGCCACTCTATTGAATGCAACCCCATGTAGAAATGTTCAAGTTTCGATAAATTATCAAGTCTGAGGAAGGTTAATTGAGGAAACAAAAAACTAGGGGTCTCATTTACTTCCTCCTTGGCAACAATTTCCTCAAACCCGCAAGAGATAATCGTAAGCTCTTTAAGTTGCAAAAGACCAGTAGCTATGGAAACTGGAAAGAGACTTTTCATATTCCAACAACTGTCAACGGTTAATGTTTCTAGATTGTGAAAGGTAAGAAGTCCTTGAGTAGAATTAGAAGGAACAATAGTCAACAACTTTTCACAGTATTCGACTCTCACTTCTTTTAGCTTGGAAAAGGAATCTTTATGGAGTTGGTTGTGCCATATCAACTGCAAGTTATCCAAGTGTAAGAGTATCATCTTCTCCAAGCTTGGAAAAGCAACCTACAAAAAACATCTCCTCATGTTAATGTTTTGGTAATGATAATGATAATGATAATAAAATAATAATTTGAGACCATTAGACAATAAAAACATATCAAACAGATTTGGACTTTTTCTTAAAAGTAAAAATGAAAACAAAAGAAATGCGTTATAAGTGAATTTCTACTAATTAATAGCAGATAAAAATATTTTAAAATTCTAAATTTTGAGGCCAATAGACAATAGAAAATTTCAATTATAAGAAATAATTTCACCTTTTCGTTGAAGAGGGGATTTATATTAGTAATATATTTTTCCAAGCCCACTTCATCAGGTTCCTTTCTTAGCGTGTCTACACCAAAAGAATTTTGAAAGAATATCTCCAAATTAGAGCAACTCTCAATGTGAAGTTCATTCAAGGCGGGGAATTCAATTGAATTTCCAGTGCCAAATCTTGTGAGTTTTGGAAGAGCCGCCAGCTTTAGGTAGAATAGTTTTTGAAAACTCATATCAATTATCTTATCTTCTCCTTCTAACCCTTCTGAGTCAAATATTACTGCTTCCATTGACTTACAGTTGCATATCACAAGGTTTTTGAGTTGCATGAGACTTTTGACCATGGAGGATGAAAAGATAGACTTCAAACCATTACAATCCTCCAAAGTTAAGCTTTTTAAGCATTGCATATAGGAAGACATTGGTTGAGGTTGACCAAACCATATGTTCTCAATATTAATCGAGGACATGTTCAAGTTCTCCAATCTTGGAAACACAACCTGCAGAAACAAATCTCATTCCATAAATAACATAGAAACTAATTAAAGAACACCTAATTTTCCAGTAAAATAAAATAAACGGGAAAAGAAAATGGAAAACACACCTTCAAGCCAAAAATTATGAATTGTGGCAAGCATTGTAGTACTAGGGAATGCAATTGTTTAAACTCAACCTTACGATTCCTTTCGTTTTCATCAACATGGTTTGCACTTTCTTCACCAAAAATCGCCTTTAGCTTCTTGCAATCAGTTACTTTGATTTCTTTTATCTGAGAGATGTTTCCAGCCATAGAGGATGAGAAGAGATACCTCAACCTGTCACACTTTTCTACTTTTATGACTCTTAATTGGCTGAAAGACTTCGCATTGACTAGGCTGCAACATATCTTCTCCATATTACTTAGATTAACAAGAAACAATGATTCTAGGATTGGAAAGCAATCATTAGAAGGAGTGCATCCCATTGAGTTGACAATATACAAAATTTCAGAACTATTTTGTACAGAGAGATGCTTTAATTGTGGGAAACCTTCTCTGTCAAGTTCCCAAAGTATATCCTTAACACCATTTAGCTGATCTAGATAGAGATATTTAGCTTTCTCCACCAAAATTTCAACCCCATACCTCAAATGAAGACTTCCATTGCACTTGAGTCTCAATGTTCTCGAGGTTTCATAGTCACCAGACCACTCCCATCCATCTCCAATATGTACTTCATACTTATCTAAATTCTCAGGGATAAAGTCCTGCTGTATAATCTGCAGATTCGGGATATGTATGCGTAAAGAGTTCAGTTGAGACAATCTCTTCAACTCAGCAAGACTAGCGTTATTCTGTCCTTCAACTTCCCAGCGATCAAAGCTATTACATATAAATAGCTGTTCTAATCGAGACAAGCTGGCTATGACATTTGGTGTGATTACTTTAAGCTTTGGACAATTGATCAATAGTAATAGCTTTAGTTGCGACAATTGTTTAAAACTTTCAGGCAACTGTTCAAAACCACAATCTTCAAAACCAAGAATCTCTAAATTTCTTAGCTCTCCTATCATTGTTATATCTCCTAAAGTGCAATTCCTCAGAGCCAATGATTGAAGGTTTGTTAGGCAAAGAAAGGACGAGGGTAGTGGTAATAAATGAACTTTCTTCAAATCTAGAAATTTGAGTTCCATCATCCCTTGAAAAAAGTGGTTTGGGATTTGTGAAAAAGGATCTTTTTCAAGAAACAAAACAAATAACTGGAGGTTCGGAAACTTTACCCTTTCAGGAAGCCCATCAATGTCTCCATAGCACAAAGAAATTGCAATCGAATCTTTGTACATTTCCTTCACCAACACTTCTTTAGAGCCATCGGCATCATGAAAATTAAACATACGTTTCTCTTTGGCAATTGATGTAATAACAACATGAGTGATGTCATGCACTTTGACCGTCTCATTATTATTACCTTTCAACAACAAACACGAAGCTTCGAGATAATCAATCAGCGACTTGATTCTATTCATTCTATCGTTAATCGTATAAACATCTTGAAACAAGCCCAACCCCATACCACCTACCAGAAGGCAAATGAAATCTATATCACAACCCGCATAAGAAAGAGCACAAAGTAGAAGCAGTGATTTTGCTTCTTCACTGTTCAACAATTCGTAACTCAATTCAATAGTTGAGTATAAAGTGTTATCCATTTCTGGAACACATCTTGGATTAGAATTTTCTAACTGACGTAACGCATCCCTCCAGACAGAATCACTCTTACCATTCAAAGCATTTGCAATTATTGTAAGTGCAAGTGGTAAACCTGCACATTTTTCAATTATTTTAGCTGCTATATCTGTTAAATCACCAACAATGTTCCCAAACCAATTTCTTGCATCATCTTCAGCTAAAGGCTCAACAGATAAATACTTCTGAGTATTCATTTGTTTTAATACAACTTGTGTTCTCGCTGTTAATAATATTGTGCATCGCACTTGCTCATCGTTGCTTTCTTTCTTGTCTTGTTGGATGCTACCTTTATCATCATAGCTAAAAGGAATCCCAACAACCTTCAAGTCAAGCTTCTTCCAGATATTATCTACAATTACAATGATTCTGGCATTCTTCAACCTATAACGTAATTGATCAGCTCTTCCAGATAGACTCTCCTGGTCTCTAAATACCATGCCCAATTGACCAGCAATGTCGGCTTGAATTTGTTTAAGATCCGGATTCTGTTTTACCTCAGCAAAGACCACCTCATCAAATAAATTATCTTCCTTTGCTTTCCAAGCAACTTTTCTGACCAGTGTGGTTTTGCCCACACCACCCATCCCGTATACTCCAATCATGTTAACAGTAGAATCCTTCAATGCCTCCATGATATCGTTGAAATTGGACTCTCTGGAGTGAAAGTGCTCATACTCCTCACCGACAAATATGGATTCCGTCCTCTGTAGAATAACGGGGTGGGAAACTCCTCTGAATTTTCCTTTTTCCAAGAGCTTGGCTCCATCCTCTAACACCTGCTCTGCATCCTTGCTGAGCCTGTATCGTTTCATCAAATCAGGACACAGCCCTTTGAAACAGCGCCTCTTTGCTTTATCTTCATCATCAACGAGCTTTACTTCACGTTCCATGAAACCTTCCACGCCCCTCAGCCAGTCTTTAACTTCATTGTAAATCTCTTCCCCTTGTCTTTCAGCAACGTCAACATCTGTTTCCACATCTTGTTTTCGACTTCTAACCTCCTCAACTTGTTCGTTTGCCTTCTCTATATACTTCTGGTACTTGAACACATAGGAAATCTTCCGACAAATGAAATCATACACAGTCTCTGTAACTTGTTCAGCAACTTTGGAACCAACAACAGTAACTATTTCAGCCATTACCTTTTTTTTTTTTCTTTTCTTTTTTTTGGTTTAAACAAGGAAAGCCACTGACAAGTGACAAACGCTACTTAGGAGGGCAAGAAAAAAGAAATACTGAAAAAAGAGATATACTAGAAATGTCTATGAGATCAAAAAAATTCTAAAACTAATGTTTAAAAAAAAAGGCAGATACCAGAAATATGGGGAATAAGATCAAAAAAGGATTAAGAGAAGTTGAATGTTTGATACTGGATGTAAAACAAAGCTAATAATATAACGGCAGGAACAAGCTGAAAAAGAAAACGATAGGAATAATAAGCAAGAAAAATCAAAAAAAGAAACACAGACAAGAGAACTACTAGAATATGAGAAACGGTAAGATCAGAAAAGCCGAAACTAATGTTTTTATAAGAAAAAGCTCGATGAACAAAAAATCTTTTCTTTTTTTTTTTGGTTTGAAGATAGTAATGGATACTGGATACAAAGCAAGGCTAATAAAATGACAGAAAAATAATAATAGTTAAGAGTACTCAACGGAATTGGTTTTGGAAGTTTAAAGAAATGGCACCTCAATCGCTATATCCGTGTAAGAGCTGTGTTCAAGGACCAGAGTGCTTGTTTGCTTTTCTTCTGGGTGATTAAGGACCAACAGACATTGGAAGAATAATATTCAACACTCAAAACTTTTTTATTTTAAAAAAAAAAAATAAAAAAAAAACATAGTCAAAAGAAGGTGGCAATGCCGACAATTCACTTTGAAAGAACATAAAAATTAGTCCTCATGAAATGACTTAATACAATTCTCATCCATAATTAAAATACAATTCTTTTTCAGCAAATTCATAATTCTGGGCTTCAGAAATTCCAAAACATTTTCATTCTCTTTCTGCACCTCCTCCTTAACATTTTCATTCCAAAACTACTAATAATTGTAGGATTCCTCTTGCATTATACAGACAAAATTATACGAAAAAGATAAACCTTCAAGCATAAGGTATAGTGCATAAGAAAAATAAATAAACTTCTATAATAAAATAACAAATCAAGATAAGGAATAGCAATAATAAAACAAATCTGACTTGTGCAAGTCATAAATTTTTTGTTTAGAAAAATTATTAATATTTTTTTATTATACTTGTCTTGAAAATCAAAGTTTGTAAATTGCAATAAAAGAAAGTTCAGTGTATAGTTTAGGATGATTACCTAGATATAAATTTACACTGTATACGGTATACTTTGAAATGATAAAATAATATAGTGAGACAACAGTGGGGTCAAATATAATTTCTCTTTAACAAAGTTGATTGTAAAAGACAAATAAAAAGAAAAAGGTTGGAAAACACATTGTCCCACCTACAAGATTTAATAAATATCCCATTCACAAGAAAAAAGAATATAGTGACCATTTACACTTACGGTTTACTTTGAAATGTCTTCAAAAATTCACTGGACCCAACTTATTAAGATGAACAGCTGTGATTGAACAATATGAAGCCTCACTAAAAATTGTATTTGGAGTACACTTTTTATAGAAACTAATGTTAAAGGGCATAAATTTCAGTTTCTTCCAGAAAGAAACAATAACGGTGAAAAACTGTTGACTTTAACATAGGTAAGGGTATGAATGTAAGTTTATATCTAATAAGCATTTAAAACAAAATTTGTAAATCAAATAATTGAAATAGTTTGACAAAGCAATTGTCACATGAGATAGTATACAAAGTTAGGATTCAATATAAGTTTTTATGTATAACATTAATTCTCATATTAATGATAATAACTGATATTTTTCTTCTATATGTTTATTAATATATCTAATGCATTTTTTAAAAGAATATTATATCATAAAATCATTATAATAATGGTATACTATCGAGATTGCCAAAATCGACGTGAGACAATCTACATGTACTCGGTGATATTGCTATGATTTACGGTAGCAATTAACCATAAATGGCAGCTGAATGTCATACACTACCTATGACTAAAACATGTATTACAAATGCACTTGTTAATTATATATCTAGGAGTGAATCAGGTCCCACGACAAGTATTACTCTAAATATGTTTCAAGGCCTATTTTAGAAATGATCTTAAGTGATAAACTTTATTTAACTCTAATTGAAACAAATTATTTATATTACCCAATTTGGAGAAATAAAGCTTTAACATTAAGCTCGTTGGCAATTCAATTAATCAATGCGGTGTAACAAACGAGGAAAGTGGAAACTGAGGCCCCTCCATCATTCAACTTTATTGAGCAATGAATGTAAGTATATTCCTTCTAATTGAGCAATGAATGTCAAGTAAATTCCTGCTTATTCTATCACACTTGTTCTTCTTCAATGAATGCAGTAATTTTGCTTCAATAACAAAATTACCATATAAATCTTTACTGAACTCATAAAAATTACTGCAATAAGTAATTCTTCTAAGAAAAATCTTGCTTCGAAAATTTAGATTCAAACCCGCCTTCGAGCCATCGCTCATCAAACGTAGGAAGGTTAAATACTTTATTTCATTTTACCAAACAGATACTGTTAGAGTTGTCGACTACTTTAACATTAATGGGTTACGCAGATACATTCAGGGGTTCCGCTGCCTGGTTTGGGCCTTTTCCATGAAAAGCCTCTAAATGATTTCTTTAAGTTACTGATCATTATTAGGTTTGGGCTTAGGAATATGAATTCTTATAGAACTAGGTTTAATCCTTTAAACCTAGAATATAAACATATTTTTCTCTTGTTATGAGTGATAACAAACTTTATTGTAAAACGAGAGAGGTGAGACAGTATTGAAATAATATTAACTCTGACCTAAATTGGGTGAATCAGGGTAAATCGCGTATATTACTTTCTCTATTTATTGTTTATGTTTGTTTGTTTAATGTTTATTCTGTTCTCGTATTACTCTCTATTTTGTTCATATACTTGCTCTTGTTTAATATCTTCAACAAGAATTAATATTTTATAACATGAAAATAGACCAGAAACTCGATGCTGATAGTGGAAATAATGCATTAGAACAGATATTATTCATAAACAACATATTGCAAAATTGTTTGACAACGTACTTGAGAAATTAGAATGCATAAAACAAATCCGGACAGTAAAGCAACTGGATGAAGGTGCAATCAAGGGTCCTCCACATTGTAAATAGAATCACTCCTTATAATGTTAATTTATAGTAGAAGATGAAACTCATGAAAGTGGCATTACAAAGATGAAGATTTTAAGACTTGTTAACATAAGGGAAAATCAATGATAATAGGAAAATGAAGCTTAATTAATAATTGTACTGTTGTTACTAGCTATCGGTCACATTTGCTACTATATGAAGGGTAATTTGGTCTTAAAACGTGTCAAAATTGGGGTGAAGGTTATTTTCTGAGACACTTTTCAATCTGTATTATTTTTCAATTTCAACCCTAAAATTAGGCTATTTAATATAGTTTCCCTAAAGATGTTAACATATAAAGTAAAATAAATAGGAAAAAATCATCCATGCATTTCTATTATTAAAGTATTTTATAGAATAAAAAATTCAATAATTTCTATTATTGTTGAGGAGATAATTCCTATTATTACTTTTAACATAAAGCAAAGTAAATAAGAAAATAAATAAAATCTTACTAAAAAAGAAAGCAACTGAATAAACTTTTACAAAGAATTCTCTTTAATAAAGTTGGCATTTTATCTTATTCACTAGAAACGAATACTATCTGCTGCTTTTGTTAGAAGATTTAGCTCCACCCATGAAATTTAAAGAACCAAATTCTATTCCCCTCACCATTTTAAATAACTTTTTACCAAATCGCTTTGCATCCTATTCAATAATTTATTCCCACGCCAAACCTTTTATCAAAGAGGAACAAATTCAAGAGGAAGATTGCTTTAAAGGAAACAAGTGAACATTTGTCCTAGAAGCTTGATTAATCTGACGAGATTGGTAGATTATTACTTGAAAAAATTGTCCCTATTTAACTCAAAATAAAGTATGACCTTGTTCTTCTCATGTGAAGTCATAACAGATTAAACACAAGCATTTAATTTCTCAGTTAAAAAAGGTACTAATTAAATTTCAAGTTGGTTATAAATTTTATAAAAGAATTTGAAAATTAAATTATTTTTAAATTTAATTGTTTAGATTTTAGAAGAAGAATGACTCTATATCCATGTATAATATTTCATATTACAAAATAATTTTGTATTAAGAATTAATTAATTAAATCAATTATTAAATAATTTTTTAAAAGAATTGAAAAATTACACAATCACAACTGCCAACACTGGCAGTGACATATCCAGTGATACTATCGAGGTCGCCAAAATTGACATGAGACAATTTACATATACCCGGTGAAATTGCTATGATTTATGGCAGTAATTCGGAGTAAATGGCAACTGAATCTCATAGACTGCATATGACTAAAACACGTATTACAAATGCATTTGTTAATTATATATTCAGGAGTAAAGTAAGTCCTACGACAAATGTTACTCTAAATATGTTTCAGCCTACTTCAGAAATGATCTAAAGTAATAAACTAATTCTAATTTTAAACAACAATAACTATTTATTCTTTTAAATTTTATTTTAAATTAGTTATAACACCCAATTTAGAGATATAATCCTTTAACGTTAAGCTCGGTGACAATTTAATTAATTAATGTGTGTGACAAACGAAGTGGAAACTAAGACCCCTCCATCATTCAACTTTATTAAAATTCTGGCTCCACCATTGCAAAAAATCTCTCCCAAATGAAAGGTAAAGAGCTAATATTGATAGAATTTGAGGTAGACATGACTCCTCACCCAATAAAGACTTATTGGGTGAGGAGTTATACCCATCTCAAATTCTATCATGGTATCAGAGTCAGATTCAGTTGAGTTGAGTATTTGACCAGGGGGTGAGGAGTTAGAGTCAACAACTAACTCCACGAACAAACATGACCCAACATATAGGCTTGATCGTGATGGGTTGTGTTAGAATCTCACACCGATTAGGCATGTTTAAG